GATTGCAATTTCTTTTTCAAGATGGATCCAGCAGAGTCATATAGTTGAAGATCACCCCAATTACTCTCAACCAAGGAATCCAGTGTTGGATGTAAGGTCCAAGCATTCAGAAATTTGAAGGGTTTGGGCCCACAATCCCTACCATCCTCCATGAGAAGAAGTGGGCAATGATCAGAAATAGTTCTAGGAAGACCCCATAGTTTGAGTTTATATCTCGCCAACCATTCAAGACTAAGAAGAAATCTATCTATTCTACTCCACATTTTCCCTTCAAGAGTATTACACCAAGTAAATTTTCTGCCTAGCATTTGGACATCTATCACCTCACAATTGTCAATGAAATCATTGAACTCCTGCATGCCTCTATCCCTACGAGAAACTCCTATTCTTTCCCCCACATTCCGAATTTCATTAAAGTCTCCACCAAGGCACCATGGGTTTACAAAGGTTGTTTTCAAATTTAACAGGATCTCCCATAGAGCCTTCCTCCTTGATACATCGTTTGGGGCATAAATATTAACCAAAACACAGTCAAAAGAATTGTGAGCTTTACCTGATAAGAGAATAAAGTTCCTGCTGCTACAGCAATCTGAGAGATGAAAAACATCCGGATCCCAGATGCAGATTAATCCCCCTGACAGCCCTGCAGCATCTACAGTCATGAATTCCATCTTGTCTCTAGGCCAAAGGCTTTGTACCCTCAAGTGTGCAACACATGATTGCTTTGTCTCTTGAAGCAAAGCCATATCTACTGCCTTATCATGCAAAATCTTTCTGATTTTCCTCCTCTTTTCAGGCCGTCCTAGACCTCTCACATTCCAGCTTAAGATCTTCATACAAACAGTTATACTCCAGATTGCACCCAACAGGAAGCTTGTTATTCCACACCAGATTTATTTTTTTCAAAACAATTTATAATTTATTTAAAATAAATTCAAAATACAAATTCTAAAAATTAAATCAAATAAAAATATTTTGCAACAAAAGTTTTTTAACATTATCTTTATATGTTTTGGTGGGGTTCTCGCCTTATTAAAAATCATTAAAAAAATAAAACAAAATAAAAATATATAATATGTTTTTATTTTTTATTTTTTATTTTTTTGTTTTTATTACACTATGTAGTAGCTGTTTAAAAATTTGTCTTAAAAAACAGGGGTACTTATGTTCATATGGAGAAAAAAATTAACTATTAAAAACTATCATAATTAATTTCTTTCATAACCTTACATTTCCCATGCAAGTGGAGAGAATAGACAATAATCAATCCAAATAACATAAAGATCACTAATTTGCAAATATAATGAGATATGTTTTCAAATTATACATTCAACTACGTAACAAGTTTAATTTCACACAATCACAAACATAAGAGTAGTTGCATCTATAGGGAGAATCGAACTCAAGATTTCAACAACCAAAATAGAAATACTGGCAAGCAAACGGCGTTGAACAAGAACGGATTTATTAAGCAACAAGTCAAGCCAATTGTTGTTATTGACTTTTGAAAATTTTGAGTATCACATAGTTATATCCTGCAAAACCACATAGTTTTCACTGTTTTATTGTGATTTGTTGGTGCCAAGCCCACCTTGCCCTCCCTTAGAAATTTTGTTGAGGGTGAAATTCAATCTCAAATCTTTCGTATAACTATAAAGAGATTTTACTAGTTAACTGGTACATAATCTCCAAATTACCTATTTTCACTTAACCTTACCATGTTTATATGATTTTGATTTTAATATTTTGCACCCTATAGTACAACAAGGATTGTTACCCTTGACATTAAGGTTAAAGGATCAAACAAAAACCACCTAGGACTACAAAGCTGGTGAGACATCATTGTTTTATAATAAAGATTAGGTCAAATTGATAACCAATTAACCATTTTAGTGGTCAAGATCTTGCTATTCATGAAAGGATATTGTGATGGGAACATTGAATAATTGAACTACTATTTTGCTAAATTTTCTGTGGCTCCCATGGGCAGTGGCAGAGCCACATAGGGTTCAGGGGTCACGTGTCCCCGAGTTTTGAGATTTTTTTTTAAGCATAAAAAAATATTTTAAATAAAAAAATTTATGAAAATATTATTTAAAGTGAAATGTCAATGATATTTTTAAAATTATGAGAACAATAATGGTCATTTTGATTGAAAATAAAGAAACTATGATAAGTCATATTATTATCTATGAATATTTCAATATAATAGTGATATCTATCATTATTGACATGCAAACATAATTAATTTCGATGAAGATATGAAATTTATTAGATCATTAGTTACATTTGATATGTGGAGTTTATTCTTCATGTGTTTCTTTCCATTTATAACTAAAATAACCACTATATAAATTATAATCAAGCAACACATCTTCAATTATAAAAAAATAAAAATAATAAAAAGCTTACAATAGGTCATAACTAATATCAGAATGAGTCATAACTAGTTATTACTTGATATATAGTTATAACCAAAATAACAACCACAAGAAGTTATAACTAAATTATATCTAACACTATAACGTGTTATAAGTAAAAACTACGAAGATCGTAATTGCGACATATGATACACTACAAAAAAATTTGTTTTTTGCGACGGTAAGCGGCCGTCGCAAATGCTCCCGGAAGCCGTCGCTAATACCTTCATTTCCGACGCCTCCGCTTAGTTTCATTACCGACGGGTCAGTACCGTCGCTAAAGGCTATTATTTGCGACAGGTGAAGTTACCGTCGCAAAAAACGGTTTTTTGCGACGGGGGGCGCGGCGTCGCTAAAAACCCCGTCTTTTTTGCTATATTTTCCTGTAGTGATAGACACTTTTTTTGCGGTATGTTTTATAGAATTTCTCTACTAAAATATATAATTTCTGTCTCAACGTATCTTCTTTTTGAATTATCCAATCCACCTATAAAATAGTTACTTCCAAATATTTGTATAAAATTTAATCTCAAATCCTTTAATTTAAAATTCACATTTATCCAAATGAACTCTTAACATTTAAATTTAGTAATATCTCATTGCTGTTTATTATGAAAAAAAAAAATAATAATAATAATATTGCTATTAATTTGTACCCCTTTTCATTAAATTCTTAACTACGCTACTACCCATGGTAAGGGGGGGACAAGATATTGGAGGGAGGAAACAATGAGGGTTCAATGTTCCCTTTTGTTCTACTTCAAAATTGAAGTGTATGTGATTCAATTGTAGTCTTAATTCTGCATTGAAACATGAAAACAATATAAATTTGTGTGGACGAAATTCAAAGTCACCGAGATTTTTATTTTAATAGAAACAATTCATTTTAATTTATTTCATAATAAGATTGTTTTCTAATAATTGGACATGGTAAATGAAAGTGCCACCACAACAAAATACATTTTTAGCGACTAAAATTAGCGACTAAAACAAATTTAGTCGCCAAAAGTTTTGGAATTGGTGACTAAAACTTTTTTTTGGTTGCCAAAAGTATAAAATTTAGCTACTAAATTTTTTTAGTCGGGATATATTGATTATTGGCGACTAAAAAATAATTTAGTCGCTAAAAATACTAAAATTGGCGACAAAAAAAAATTTTCGTCGCCGTATATTGAGTTTTGGCTACTAAAATATTTAGTCGCCGAATGTAAATTAAAAATTTATTTTTTATCTTTTGGCGACCAAAAATTTAGTCGCCAAAACATATTTTTAACGACCAAAAATTAGTTTATTCGCCGTATATTAGGTGTTGGCTACTAAAATATTTAGTCGCCAAATGTAAAATTAAAAAAAAAAAAACAAACTATATTTGGCGACCAAAAGTTTAGTCGCCAAAACATATTTTCAACGACCAAAACTTAGTTTAGTCGCCAAAAAATAAAAAATTGGAGAGAGACATTTCTAATTTAAATTTGAGGAATTTATAAAAGTAATTAGCGACTAAAAAATTTAGTTGCTAATGGTGTAATATATATATAATTGGTGACCATTAGGTATTTTAGTCGTCAATTGTATAAAATGATATATATATATATATTGTACCAAACCAAACCCTAAAATAATCTGCGCCTCTCTCTCTCTCTCTATATATATATATTTTCGGCGTCCCTCTCCCTCTCCCTCCCCGTCTCCGCTTCTCCTCTCCCCTCCCTCTCTCACTGCCGCTCTTCTTCGCCTTCGACAGAAACCGGAGCACCTCCTCCTCTTCCACCATCGCCATCGTCATCGTGAGTACCGCCGATCTTTTCACGCCGCCGCTTCCTCCTCCTCTGCCGATCTTCATAGATCCATAGCCGCGAGATCCAGAGACTTCATCGCTAAGATGAACTCTGCTCCATTGATGTTCCGTCTCGCGTATGCTTTCTCTCTCTCTCTCTCAAAATATTCAGAGGCTTCTGGTAGGGATCTTAAAGATCTGATTAGTCCTTTTGATTCTCTATCTAAGGGAGATTGAAAATGGGGATTGTGTTTACTCGATTGTTTTATTCGCTTTTTGGTAACAAACTCGTTCTTGGTCCTGACAATGCTGGAAAAACCACGGCTCCGTTTGGTAGAGCTTTGTAATTATAGAGTTTTGAATTATGTGTTTGGTTATGAGTTTTGAAAAGTAATGATTATGTTTTGAATTGAGTTTTGAGAAATGAGTATAGAATTATGATTTGAAAATCCTAAACAAACACCACACTCAAAAGTGAGTGTGGAACTAGATTTTGAAAACTTCACCAAACGGAGGCCACAATTCTCTAGAGATAATCAATCCCAACCTTACTGTTAATGTTCACTTAAGTTGAAGTTTGGTTTTTGTCTTTTCTGTAGATAATTAAATAATATTTTTTTCAGAATTCATGTTTCATGAATTTTCGGATATCTGATCAAATGTTGCTCAGCCTGTGGTTTCTGTTATATTAATGTTCAATTTTTTAGTTTTTGATGAGGCATTGTCTCTGATTTGAATTCTAGGTGGAGCCAAAGCGTAGGAAGAGGTGACTGATCACGATGCTTGCTGTGGAGGTACTAATTTTATTGTGTATTAGCTCTACAGTATTGTTGTTGTGTTTGTGGAAATTGTACAGTGCAGAGAAGATACTGTGCTTGCACAAACTAGAGGTTTTCTTAATTTTCCATGTTGAACCAAATTATATATAAATGTTTGTTATTCGTGGGCTAAAAGGGGGGGGGGAAATGGTAGCTACTTGTTGAAGTGCGGAGTCGTTAAAACACATTAAAACTAAATTATTAAGAATCAAACTTGAATCTATTATGATATGCTTATGTTGGTTATATTCTGTATATGCAAATAGCATAGTAATTGTTTTACTCACTCCCCATCCAAATTTTGTTTTGATTTTCCTCTTTTTGGAGGGAAATGAAAGAAAGGGAGAGAAAAGAGAAAGAAGGGGTGGATTTCAAAACTTTGATATGAATTATTGACTGCTACGTTAGCATGGGGATATGATAAGGCTGTGCAGTCTGCACTAGTAGATCAAGCCTTCGATGCATATTACAATTTAAAGAAGAAAATGCGGTTCTGATTTCTGATGATGCAATTTTATTCTACTTATGGGATTAGGCTTTTTGTCCGCACAATTAGCAAGTTTGATCTATTTTTTTGGGTGGTTTCAGAATATTATGAGCAAGATTTTGTAGTTGAACTAATTGTTGATTTGACGAATTGAACTGCTCATTTTCGTTTGGTTTTTAGTCTCTGGTGATTTTATTCAGACCGACCACCACTCTACGCCACTGTCGATATTGGTGCATTGCTACAACGGTATTACATTTGTTATATGGGGTGTAACACATAGCTAGGGCAAGTTCTCTTGATTGTGAAGTGTAGCCTCTATTTTTGTTGTTCATTATCTACATATGATGCTTTACAAAATTGTATTCAAATTATTATTATTTTTAGACTATCAACTGTTTATATATATTTCGAGATCTGGAAACTGTGCCAGAGGTAGAATTGTAGGCTGCATATAAGTTGGGACCAGTTTGCTAGAGGTTCAGTGGGTAGTGTGTATTGCCATGGTTAGAGAGACAGTGTATACTATTAGATAAACATATTAAGACAGTACAAAAAATGATATGGCTTTTATCATCTGTTAAAATTTTATTTTGCTTTTAGAAAAAATAAATCAATTGGCATTGTGTTTGGCCTAGTAAATTTTGTAAAATTTATGGTGGTAAAACAAACTAGCTATATAAGTCTTGTTAAAAGTAGAGTTTGCTATTCATTATAACAACATAAAGTTTTAAGTTTGGGATCTGGGTATGCCAACTTATTAGTTTTGACTATCTGTGTTATCTTATCTGTTGCCAGATCGTTACTGTAAATATATCATTGTTTGTCCCAAAATAATAATTGTGCATTATGTCCTAAGTGCTATTCCCTAATTCCTCTGTATCATGAATACTTTTATTGTTTTCAAGCTAAGATACATCTTCCCATATGGTGCTGTTTTACTTCATGCTCTTTTTGTGGAAGTACTCTTTGAATTATTCTAGTTGCAAATGTAGCCATTTGGAATCATTGTTCGAACCAATATGGATTCTTTAACTCAAGTTGTTGCTAGTGCTAGAGAAAGGGAATGGATCTTTTTACATTCTAGAATCTAAGGTGGATGCAAACTTCAGTTTGTAGTCATCATGCATGGTTAAATATTGGTTTGCCAAGAGTATGATTACATAGTGCTTTTGGATCCTCTTATTCTGATAATTTTTCTTTTCTCGTCAGGGAGCAGTTCATCTCAAAGAGCTTAATCCACATTTCCTGCCTCTTCCAAAATATGTTTCTCAAATCTCACCTGGACCAAACTATGACTATTATTCGTCAACTATGCGCTTTACAATATCATCACCCGTGGTATGTAAATCATACATGACTTATTCATTTTTAAGGTTGTTTCACGTACAATGCTATTTAATTTATAAATCTCCATTTGGTATTCATCAATAACTTGCTTTTTAGACTCTTGTCCAAGTTAGCATATTTAGTCATTTGAGTTCACCATAAAACTATACATAAAACTCCTATATTATGCAGGAAATACTCTAAAAATATTATGCAGGAAATGCTCAAAATCATTGGGTAGTTTTTGGGGATCTGTTATTGGATGATCCAAGCATGGGGCATTTAATGGATGATAATCCTTTTTTGTTAATTAAATACATGGTAAGTCTGAATTTGTAAATATATATGGGTCCTGGTATCAGCACTGCATTGGCTAACCTTCAGTCTTGAACTACTGTGTTACCAACATTTGCAATGTGGTTTTTACCGCAATTGAGTTGGTTTTTTTATTATTTAAATGCTATTTTCTTTTTTCTTATTTAATTTTTATTTCACTGTCTTTTAATTTTGACATAGTTAACTGTCTTGTTTATGCAGGCATGGCTCCTTGCTCTAGTTATTTTACCAGCAAGGTCAAATATGATGATATGTGTTGGATTAATCACCTACTTGGCTCTCGTATCTGTCTTAATCACCTAAATTAAATATACATATGGGTAAAAATTTTATACCTATGTTTTAATTCTTCAAGCATGTTCGAAGCTGTCAATAGTTTCCCAGAAGATTAACGCATTATGCACAATGTACATATGGATTTATGCAAGATAATGTAAATGGTGAAACTTATTGATTATGCAATATATTTTTTGAATGGTCATTACTCTGGTATGCCTTCTCATTTCTGCTCTATATAATTATTTTGTACTTGGTTTGAGAATAAAATGAGAGAAGTTGATCAGTGAATTGATGATGGATAAAAATCATGTATCTGTTTGTGCTATCTTTTGTTAGCAATTGTTTGTGATCTATGTTACTGATCTATATTAATTTATGTATGCAGCTTTCGACTTTGCTTCAGTAATTGCTTTGAGGGTTGGACTGCAGCTGGCTTCATCACTAGTTTTTATTTTATTTTATTTTACTTTTTATGTTTTTGGTGTTTTTGTTAGTTGGTTTCTTGCCAAATTAACAATTAGATATTAATTTTTTTTTAATCCTCTGTTATGTATGGAATTATATTTTTGAGATTGGATTATACTTGATTTGTATAGATTTTTTTTTTGGAAATATTAATTTGATGTTAAATATGATTTTTTTTTTTTTTTTTATGGTTGAAAGTGAAATATGTGTGTATGTGTGTTGTGGAATGGTTGCTAATTTTATCAGTTTATAAATAATTTATTTATAAAATGGAAAAAAACTTTTGGCTACTAAATATTTGGTAGCTAAAAATAAAAATAAAATGGAGAAAAACTTTTGGCTGCTAAATATTTAGTAGCTAAAATAAAAGCAGACTTTAGGCGACTAAGAATTTAGTAGCTAAAAAAAATAAAATGAAAAAAATAAAAAAAATAAAAAGATGAAAAAAACCCTTTGGCGACTAAAACTTTGGTCGCCATAGATACTTCAAGTTTTGGCGACCAAAGTTTTAGTAGCGGAAAATAATATTTTTGGTGACTAAAATTTTATTTTAGGCGACTAAAAATATTAGTCGCCATTTATAGGACTTTTGGTGACTAAAAAATATTTAGTCGCCGATACCTTCCCCGACAAGTTTTCCGCAACCAGTTTAGCGACCAAAATATTTAGTCGGGCAAAGCATTTGGCGACTAAAAATTGTACTTTTGGCGACTAAAAATTTAGTCACAAATGTGCATTTTGTTGTAGTGTGCATTTTACTTGACCTTGGTCTAAGTTGGAATTGGGAAATTATTCAATGACTTCTATTTCTGATCATTTATGGTCGATATATAAGAACAAATGAGTTTAACAACTTATAATTTTACATTTTTTAAAAAGTCAGTCTTAATAAGATGAGATCTTACCTCTCAATATATATATATTTATTTAAATTTGCACTTTTCAAAATCCAAAAAACAGATATGTCAAGTTGTAACAAAAAACCATGACTATACTGATTGTTAATGTATATTATATTATACTTATCTATTTGTATCTCTATCCCTATCTTGTATCTCTATCTCTATCTCCTTGTGCAGACGCGCCCCGAAGGCCTCATGCTACAGTTCGGACTCAAATTGTCACGGTTCTTAATCTGATCTCACAATGTGAAATGTGAGATTGATAAATCACCAAAGAGTCCAAATCCAGCAAATCATTTTGGAAAACTGATTTTTAATAAAGAAGTGTTAAACATGGACTGCTTTGCCAGATACAGAGTAGCCATCTAAATATTTCATTTTGGGGAATTTAGGAAACCCTAACTCGTTGTCTAAGGCCATGTGTCCGTCATCACCAAAGTTGCCTCAGCTTGGGAACTTGGGTACGATTGGGAAATGTCATCTATGAGCACCCCCGCTCACCCGATCAAAGATCGGCCATTACTAAACATGATATTTTGTTTTTGAAAGCACATGTGTTCTTACCCTGATTAATTAGATAATCTTACTATGTGATGCGCACAGCAAACAAGTATAGACTAGATCGCCTAATTTAGAACAAAGCATTGCATATCCGTTTGTTTGGAAGTGGTTTGAAGTTTGCTACTCGTAAGTAGACTAAAACACGAATTTCAATGAATATTTTCAATTCATGTAATCCAACCTTCACCCACAGGCATTCAGGTAGTTTATATCAACTAAGCAGTTAGCCTCATGTCAAGCATGCTTTCATGGCAACATTAACACATATGCAGTATGCTAAAGCGTAAAAGCTTACCTAGTACTCCAAGCCAAAACAGAAACTAGTTAGTAATCAATGCATGATCCTAGTTCATGTTAAGATGGCTGATGCAACACATACAAAATGCAACTAGAAGTAGGCTCGGCTATTCTAATATGGCATATGAGGTGCTACATTTGATACATGTATTCAACTTTGAATTGAAATACAATGCAGTTAGTATGATGCGCCGAGCCCGGTGCATGCAATATAGATGAACGATGCAAACATGCAAACATAAGTATGCTAATTGAAAATGACCCTAAACTAACCATCAAAAGCAGGTAAGTAAAAGGGAGAAAGACGTGGGGTTTGAAGACATGCACACACACACGCACACTTATTACAAAATTCGCCCTCTCGACGGAGGGTCCGAATGAATAATACAAACCAACTAATTAACTAACTAACAAGCTAATTAATTGTTACATACCCGAATAAATAACTAGCTACAACTAATTATTACAAAACTTAATTAATTAACAAATTAACTAATTAAATTACAAAACCAAATGCTAATTAACAAGTAAGCAATTAAACAATGTTGCCTCGGCAAATTGAAGAAGGTGAACATGCATGCTCGGTTCCCGTCCCGGTAAGCTCTCCGGATGCTCTTTAGAGACTCTTTCTGCAGGGTGTCTTCAAGGAATTAAAGCAGTCTGCGAAATACATCAGTGGCCTGCCGGCTATGGAGAGATGCTACCAACCACCTGCTGGCCAAGAATGAGGGACTGCCGGCCACTGATGTGCTGGGACACCAAGCTGGAACAGAGCAAAAAATAGAGAAAATGGAGGGTCTCCCAAGGATATGTACGCACTATGTCACTCCATATCACCTCAAAACATCAAGGGAGAGACATAATCGTATCCACGACCATCAATCACGCATCCCGATGCATGATGGCCAAAGATCCAACTTGTGCAAATCAGTATGAAATGAATGCACAAATAAACACATAAAGCCTAAAACTCTATCATGTGTGATCAAGAGCTTCGGCGACCGAGAATTGAGACACGTTTCATCACTTGAAGTATAAAACGTCCCTTGTTTCTCGTGTTCGGATTAACACTTAATCCAAACAACAATGCAACACAAGCATGGCAAACATGCAATGCAACTATATGGCATACTCAATGCTCAATGCTAAGAACTAGATGGCATGCTCAAAGCAAGGCGATCATAAGGTTCTAAGTACAATGTAATCCATGCATGTACAATGCAATGCAACAAGGGTAACAACATGACATGTAACAAGTATGTAACTACGTACCAATGCATGCAACAACATGTGATATAATAAGCATGCAACAACATGCAAAATGGATAAGAAGGTAACAACATACAAACATGCAAGCATGCAACAACATACAAGGTAACAAGCATGCGACAACATGCAAAAGATGGACTTAAATCAAAGTGGGCAGACCTCAGCCATGCCCAAATCAGTGGCCAAAATGATGAATTGATGACACAAAATGCAAGACAAGCATGCATGCCAATTGGACCAAGAATTAAGGCATAAAGAGGACAACTCTCAAGCACACTTAAAGAGTGACAAGCATGGAAGTATGACAATACTACATGCTCTAAAATGATGTTAGGAATAATGTCAAATCACACACAAAACACAAGCATGGCATGCATGAAGCTCATAAGCTAAAAACTAGCAAAAAGGGTTAAGTCATGGCCATACAAAGCAAGCCCCGAAGGACCAAGGGGACCTAAAATAGTCTCAAGGCAGGTCCAAACAAGACTAAAAACAAGCTTGAAGCTAGCCAACACAAGCTAGAACACAAGTCCGAAAGTCATGAAGCATGCAAGGCTACAAAAGGGGTAATACACTATACCTATTAAAACCAAACATGGCATGACATGGACAACATGAAACAGAGTTACATCATGGTATAACAAGACCAAAAATGCACTGATATGATGAGCCAAAGGCTTAGGCTTAGGCTTAGTGGCATGCACAAAAGTTCATTCTTGAGGCATAAAGCACAAACTCTTCAAGGCATTCAAAGCATGTCAAATGCAAGTGTATGACCACATTTCGTGGACTGAAATAATATTTGAAATGATGGCAAAGCATGCAAACATCGCATGCATGGCATGGTAGGGGCCTCAAAACCCAAGGCTAGTCAAAGCATTTACACTATAGCTATACAAAACATGAGTGATATGGCCATGGCAGCCCAAAATAGTCCTAGGACAGCCCAAAATAAGAATAAAATCATGCTGGAACAAAGCCAAAATATGCTAGGATGATGAGTCAAAACATCATACACATAAAGCTAGTAAGCAAGATTTTTTCTACAAGTATATGGAGCATGCAAAGGATGACCAAACCAACTATGGACAGAGTTATGTCATGGCAAAACATCACCAAAACATGCTGGAATGGACTCAACATAAGCTAGGATGACATGCTAAAGCAAGAAGCATATAAAGCTAGTTTATGAGATTTACACTACAATTGTATCATACATGCATGGAGTGACAAAACCAATCCAAAACAGATCTAAGGCATAGTAAAACATCACCAAAAACCTACTGAAATGGAGCCAACACATGCAAGAAAGACACGCTACTTTGATGAGCCACAAATGAGATTACACTACACATGTAAGAAGCATGCAAAATATGACCAAACCAACCATGAAAAGACTTAAGGCAGGTCCTAAAAGTCACAAAAAAAAATGCCTGAACCAAGCCTAAAAAATACAGAGAGGCATGGTCTTTTGGAAGGCCAAAAACTCAAGCAAACAAAAACAAGAAGAGAAGGGGGCCACCCCCTCTGATTTGAGACCTCAAAACCACATGCCTACCACTAAAAATCCACTGGATTTCAGTGGTTAAAAGGCTAAACCAAGGCTAGCTCAAAGGCCTTAAGGCATGGCTCAAAACAAGGCCAAACAAGGCAAACAAGAGGATTGAAGACCCTCAGCAGCACAAAGACCTTAAACAACTACCAAAAGCACTTAAATACAAGACTTTTTTCAGTTGAAAGCAAGGCCTAAAACAATATGCAAGAATGGCCAAAATGAGATACAAAAAAAATGCTAAAACGGGGAAAAAGCTCACCCTTGAAGTCCAACTTCGAAACTAGTAACCTCAGGGGCCAAAAACCAACTTTCAGAGCTCAAGTAACACTCCTAAGAACTTCAGCCCAAAGGTGGTGGTATGTCTGTATGTGTTGTAGTGCAAAAATGCAAGAAAAAGGCACAAAACTAACAACAATATAGAGAGAGAGTAAGAAATATATAGAGAGAAAGCTATATCTCTTCTAAAATGGCTGAACTTTTGCTAAGGAGAGAGGGACTCTCCTTATATAGAGGGAAAACAATGCAAAGTTTCTTCAAGAAGCTTGGCAAGAGCTTCATCCCTCCATACACGTGTATGGATGGGAGATGAAAGGATTCCAGCTGGCTCAAAAGATCTGGAGTGAAACCAGCTGAGACAGGGATTCTGTCAGTCATCAGTGGTGGCCGGCAGTCTCTCACTAATGGCCGGCAAGCTTCACCAGTGGCTGGCAGCAACAAAGGCATGGCTGGCAGTGCCAGACCATGGTCGGCAGTGGACCAAGAAAAGCATTCTGAAAGGACCAAGCCATGGTCCAAGAATGGGGCAGAAAGGATACAGGGTTCGGAAAGCTCAAACCTGTGACGTTCCGCCGCGAAAGTCAAATACCCGACGAGCAATCGAGCTAGTGACTGGATATACCTGCAAGCACAATCGAGTCTTGAGGACGATCAAAAATGGGGTGTCTACACCTTGTACCTCCACATTCTTCTATACTTATCTAAGTTTCTTTTCAGCCTTTATATACAAGCTTCTCTTATTGTATTCATTCATTCATTCATTTAATTCCATAATACAGATACACAATTCTCATATTTCTTTCAACCATTCTAACATGGTATCAGAGCTCTAGGTTCTACACTTATAGCATTTTCTCTTTGTGCTTAGTCTACACAGTGGCACTACAGCATTCATTCCATCACCCATACATTTTATTATCTTTGTTCCAACACTGTTTCATCGTTATTTTCACCCAAAATTTTTAACCTCACCACCAAACTGATCGCAATCTCCTTACGATTCCAACAGCACCAACCACGTCACCAGAAAGTACTCTACGCGCCCTCACATGCCATTTTTTGTGCTCGGCGCGTCTTAGTTTACTCTCTCACGTACCCTTTAGGTGCTTGTGCACGTCAGCACCTGACGTCAGCCTTACGCCTGCCTACGCCGTTCCTGCTGCTGTGCGCCGCGCGTGCGCCATCCTGCTACCGTGCACCCGCGTGCGCCGTTCCTACTATCGTGGCCGCGTACACAAATGGCATCCCACTGGCTGTTGACATCATTTTTGGCTTATTTGTCATCTACAGGTCCATTTTTTGGCTATTTTTGGGCCAACTAGCTGCTCTCTAGCTATTTTAAACATTCCAGATTCCTTGGTTCACTTTGTTTCACTCAGTTCTACTTTGACACTACTGGGCCCTCTTTGTGACTCACCTAGTTCTACTCCGACACTACTGGGCCCTCTTTGTGACTCACCAATTTTTACTCCAACACTACTGGACCCTTTTTGTGACTCATACTTTGATCACTTCATGGATCATTCAGATAGTTCTCCTCTCTACGGTGGCTCTTCTAGATCCGTTTTTAGTCGACATGACTCTTCGATTTAGTTTGCCTCTACTGCTGTTGCACCTACCTCCTTTTCCACTCATACTGTTCATGACATTGAAGCAATTACGCAAAAGGTTCTTTCCACTTTTGGTACACCTTCTACTACTATCTTAGTCACCCCAGGTACCTCTTCATGGTATTTTGATTTGGCTTGTTGTAACCATATGACCTCTGACCCTGCACTGTTTTCTTCTACTACATGTCCTTCTAATTTACCTAGCATTCATACTACAGATGGTTCTCAAATGCATGTTAGCCATGTAGGTCATATTTTTACCTCTAATCCCTAATCCTACACTTAATCTTATCTCTATTGGTCAACTTTGTGATAGCCGTACTATTCTATTTTCTCCAACTGGTTGTGTTGTGTAGGATCTGAAGACGGGACAAACCCTTAGGATAGGTCGTAGACATGGACATCGATACGAGCTTATCCACCTTCGGATTCCCTCTTCTAGTCCTTCCAATGTTGAGTCTGCTGCTTCTGCTACTATTAGTTCCCCTTTTGCTTTATGGTATTCTCGGTTACGTCATGTGTCCTTTGGTCGTTTATGCTCTCTAGTTTCAAGTGGTCAGTTAGGTGATGTTCCAAATGATAAAGTAGACTGTCTATTTTGTCAACTTGTAAAACAGCACGCCTTGCCATTTACTACTAATATCTCTATGTCCCATACTCCTTTTGATCTCATACACTCTGATGTTTGGGGGCTTTCACCTAATACCACTATGGGGGGATCTAAATACTTTGTTATATTTGTCGATGATTTCACCCATTTTTCCTAGTTATTTCTTATGATATCTCGCTCTGAGTTACACCAAATATACTATGATTTTCCTTACATGGTCAAAACTCAATTTTCCTCCACCATCAAAAATTTTCGTGTTGATAATGCTCAAGAATACAAAGAAACTCATTTTTTGAAATTCCTTCGTCAAAATAGTACGCTTTCTCATTATTCTTGTCCTGGTACATCCCAACAAAATGGTCGTGCTGAACGCAAACATCACCATATCCTTGACATTGTTTGTGCTCTTCTAATCTCTTCTTCTTGTCCTGAACGTTTTGGGAAGAGACTGTTCTCACAGTAGTCTATATTATCAATCGTGTTCTTACCCCTACCATCAACATTCAAACCCCATATGAGCGTCTATATGGCACACCTCCTGCCTATATTGGTCTTCTTGTGTTTGGATGTGCTTGTTTTGTTCTTTTTTAACCACATAAGCGTACCAAATTAGAACCTCGTGCCCGTTTGTGTTGCTTCTTGGGTTATAGGATTGAACATAAAGGTTATCGTTGTTGGGATCCTTTTTCTCGTCATCTTCATATCTCTCGTCATATAGTATTTTGGGAACACAAAATGTTCTCCTCTACATCTAAGTTTCATTTGTCCACTCCTCTCACTACACTATTCTTTACAGATCCCTCTCTTCTGTTTCATAAGCTTGATACAGACACTATGACTTCGGGCCATCTTGAGGATTTTTCTTTCCCTCCTAGTCCTGCTGCTCCACTCCCTAATCCTGAGCCAGCTTCTGTACTGCTTCTGTTTCATCTCTTAGTCCTACTATCATTCCCTCACCCAGCAAGCCTCATACATCCCTTGATTCCACTACATCATCTTCTGCACCAAAGGTACCTCTTTATCATTCTACTCGGGTAACACAACCTTCTGTACTTCTTCGGGATTTCATTGTTGGTTCCACTACTTTTTCTTCTCATAAACCTACTTCCTATCAAGATACTTGGTCTAATCCTCTTTGGTAGCAAGCTATGAGTGATGAACTGCAGGTTTTAGATAAAACTCATACCTGGGATGTAGTTAACCTTCCATGTGGCAAGAGTGTTGTTAGTTGTAAATGGGTTTACAAGATCAAAACTCACTCTGATGGTTCTATTGAGCGTTACAAAGCTCATCTTGTTGCTCGGGGGTTTACTCAAGAATATGGGATTGATTACGAAGAAACATTTGCTCTTGTTGCTCGTCTTACTTCAGTTCACAGCCTACTTATCGTTGTTGCTACTTGTTGTTGGAGTCTTTGTCGGATGGATGTCAAGAACGCCTTTCTCAATAGCGATCTCATTGAGGAAGTTTATATGCATACTTATCTGTTTGTATCTCTATCCCTATCTTGTATCTCTATCTTTATCTCTATCTCCTTGTATTTATATCTTCTTCTATACTTATCTAGATTTCTTTTCAACCTATATATACAGGCTTCGCCTATTGTATTCATTTGTTCAATTCAATAATACAGATACACAATTCTTATATTTCTTTCAACCATTCTAACACTGATCTTCTTCAAATAATGACTAAATTATAATTAGTTCCACAATTTCAACATTTTGACTATGATTTCTTCGTAACTTTTGGACGTAATGTAATTCTCTCTTTGATTACACACCTTCCTCTCTCAATATTAAAAAATCAATTAATCAATTATTGTTACTATTATTTTTTTTTTACTTACAAAAAAATCAACTAGTTTATGAACACAAAATCAACTACAGAATGACACAATCTGAGTGAGATCATAGTCACCCTTGCCACCTAGTGTATATAACAAAAAATATTTTTTATGCTTGATTTTGTATGCGCAGACTGTGTTGTTTTATGCTTCAAATAATAAATAAGAAATCTAGCGATTTCAATATCGTGTATATATATATATATATATTAACCACTTACCATTGTGATTTACTCGATTTTTATGTTATGTTTGGTTTAGAGATTTGAGAAGTGATTTGAAAAAGAAAATGAAAAAGATAGGTGAAATATGAATCAAATATACCTCTATTTCACTTGGGATTGTTTGTGATGTTCTAAATAAGTGTACTTTTTGACTTTTTATAAAATATGGGTTGAATTTGAAGTGATGTAATAGAGATGTGATGCGACTTAAATAAGATAATGTGACTTAAATAGGATAGTAACTTTTTGACTTTTTTTAAAAATACCAAACTTAACCTTAGTTTCACACTTATTTTTTTCTTTCCCTTCCAAATCTCTATCTAAATTGTGAGCCAGGCCCAATTAAAACCCAAGTTCATGAGTTGGAGCTTCTTCAAAAGGCCCACCCCACTGTCAGACTTCAAGTTCTGTCTCTCCTTTCTTTTTTGTGTCTCCTAGCTAGGGTTTTGTTCAGTGGAACACTCATTTTGGCAAAAATGTCTTCAATAGGTGCTTCAAAGGGTATTTTGGAGGTTGCGAAGTTTGCCATTTACGTCACAGTTCCGATTGGTCTCATGTATTTCTTCGCCAACAACACTAACAACATCCAGAAATTCATGGGCAATGTAACTCTCTCTCTCTCTCTCTGTGAAATTACATTTTTGTTTGTTTGTTGAGAATTCAGCACTTTTGGTTATCTACTCTGTTTGTGCTTACAAATTATTTATATATGGTGTTGTATTGTATACAGTTTGTAAGATGTTTTGATCATTATTTAGGTTGTGTTTGGATCATAGAATTGGTTGAGTAAGAATTTGAAAAGGGAAAAGGAAAAAGTGGGTGAAATGAATTCATCCATTTCCTTTTTGCCTTTCCAAATTCATGATCCTCCTTTTTAGTATGATTCAATTGGCTGCTACTTTCTCTGCTAGTCCTGTTGCTATTGGACTAACTAACATCCCATTTTGAAATACTATGTATGAGCATTGATCTTATGATTCTTCAGGAAATTGTTATTTTGAATGGGGATTATTAGTATGTTGTCTATGTTGTCTCTATAATCACTTTCTAGTTATTTTGTAATTTTATCATCATCATAAACTACTTTTGTTCAATTTTGATTGATCAGTGTTTGGTTCACAGGAATGAGGCTGGAATGAAATAGTCATTCTGATGTTTGGTTAGGTAAAAAGGAAAGGAAATTACAATGGAATTACTATTCACCAATTTAGGAGAATGGTTTGAGAATTGACTTTTTTTAGTGATTTTTTGGCTTTTTTATAAAAAGTGCATAAAAGTAGAGGGAATAGATTGACTTTGGGGCTTTTCGGCTAATTTAATCTGTTCCTAAACATATGTTCAGTTGGGAAGCCAACAAATGTTCATTCCATTTCTACCCGAAATCATTCTACCGAACCAAACACTACCCTGTTTTGCTGATGGTATGGATTTGAGACAGGATGACTATTTGTTTCTGCATTGAAAGTCCATGTAGTTTTGAAGGAGTTTTGTTGAATATCAATTTGTAGATCAAACATATCCTATTCTTCTAAAATGTTACTGCAATGGATCAATTTCTAGTTAAGTTGATTTTAGCTTGGAAAAAGAATCTATACCCAAATGTAAAGAATAGTTTTTTGAGCTTAATTTGAGTTCTAAAGTTGAAAAAATTATAAATAAAAAAAAAAAGCTACAAACCTGCCAAGTGGAATCAAATACTTTCTTCTAAAATGTTACTAAAAATATTTACAAATACTGAAAGAAGAAAATAAAGATTGGAGAATAAGAAAAAGTTACCCCTTGTTTTAAGTGTCAGTTTGAGGACAAAGTAAGCATCTCATTATGAATAAATACACAAAATCTACCACCAGAAAACATTCCATTGTCGAATCATGGAAATGTTATTTGGGAGTAGATTTTTTGAAGTGGTTAAGTTCATTGTTGAGTACAACATGTCACTTGACTGGCACTGTGGCACGTTGACAGCATATCATGCAACTTTTAACTCTAAGATAGTATTTGGTTCATTGGATTTTGGGTAGGAATTAAATGGTTTTTCCTTGGTCTACAAATGGAATGACCATTCTCCTAAATTGATGAATGATACATCCATTTGCAATGTAAATTTCTTTCTTTTTTACTAAACAAACATGTGAATGAGCATTTTGATGTAATGACCTTTCTATTCTAGTCTCATTCTTGTGAACTAAACACTACGTAAGAGAAAGCATCTTAAGTCTTTTAGTTGTGTTTGGTTCATGGATTTGGGTAGGGTTTTGGAAAGGAAAAGGGAAAATGTGTGTGAAATGTAATTATGCACCTACCTTTTCCCTTTTCCTTTCTAAATCCCGTCAAATTCATGAACCAAACACAGTCTTAGAGTTGTAGCATTTTTACAACCCTCAGAGATTACCTCCATTTCAAATATAATTTTTCAAGGCATGACGATATTGATTTAGAAATGAAAAGGACAGTGCTTGATCCTTGGTTTGATACTTTTCTAAAACATCTTTGCTTTTTTCCTTTGTGAAGCGTTCTTACATTGTCTATCCCCCGGAGGGGCCAAGACCTCAATCACCAGAGGAACTAAGGGAGATGGCTCGAGAAATAGCTCGCAAGAACAACATACGTTGATGTGTCACTCAGGTTGCATGTAAGCTTTTGTAGTACTAGAAAAAAAAAGCTATGTTTCAAAAAAAAAAAAAAAAAAAAAAAAAAAAAAAAAACCAGTATCAATGTAACATGATAACGTTAAGGTTAATACAACCAAATGAATAATGTGTCTGGTATCAGTATGTTGTGTTTATTGGGAGCTCTTAACTTGGTTGTTTGAGAGATCAAAATAAATGTGATTGTAAATTCTTTTTTATTTCTTTACTGAAATGTGATTTTCTATCTTGAGACTGTGATATCTGTAATGGCCTTTTGTTTTGTGTGTGTGTTTTATATATTTATTTATTTACTTCTTTTCTTTTTTTCTTTTGTTTGGTTGTATCTGAAAAGAAAAGGTTTCTTGCTTTGTGATAGCCTGAGCTGTATTGAGAACCAGATTTGCCCATTATGCAGTTTTTCTGATTGTTGAATATGTTGCTTTTTTGCCAATCTGACAAAACATACTGGGAATTTCTGTTTCTATTTTGCTACTTTTCTTTCTTTATTATTATTATTTTTTTCTTTTTTTTTAATCATTTTTCCTCAATTGGTTTTTATTTCTTTTTTTATGTTCTTCTCTTTTTTCCCAATCTTTTCCCTTTGCATGTTGAAGAGGGTAAATGATAATGCGTACCCTTTAGGTAAAGAAATAATACAATATGCCTCACAAGGTTGATGTAATTACACTAATCTCTTATTTAATAAAGTTAAAGTGATCAAAACTAATGTGGATGATGTTTACGTAAAATAATAAATAACGAAAAAATATACATTTTAATATAAAAGTAATGATAAATTTTTTTTTTTTTTTTTTTCATCTATATGACTACTAATGAAAAGGGACATGTTATATGAATTAAACTTTTAAGAGAATTTAATGTAATTATATCAAATTTGTGCGACTTAATATATTTTGTCTAAATCACAAGGAAAGTTTAATGTTATTTAACCCTTTGAAATCTATCAATTAAGCCCTTAAAATATCCTAAATGAGGCTTTTGCTTACATAATTATGGCCCTACTTTTATTTTATCATATATTTTATTTGTTTCGACAGAATTTTAAATTTTTTTTCTTATATATTTTAGCGTTTGATACAATAAATTTATGTGGTAAAAAAAAATATAAGATAATTTGGATTTATTTGCTGTAATTTTTTTAAGGTAAAAAATTGATAATAAAAAAGTGAAAAGTAAAAATATATCTCTGACTAGTTGGTGACTCGTGCGTAGCACGATAATTTATTTTTTAAATTAAAAATTAATTGTGAATCTTAATACTTTAGGTCTAAAAAAATTGAATAATGCTTGGGACCCCCTTTTGGGGGTCACCCCCTCACCCCCTTTGTCACGTGGCAGGGAGTGATTGGTGGAGCAGGAAAAAAAAGAAAAAGAAAAAGAAAAAGAAAAGGTAACCAATGAGAGAGAGAGGGGGTCAAAGGGGGTGGGGGAAAAAGGGGGATGAATCATTACTCTATTTGATATTATTTATTTGGAAAATTGTGAATAATTTAGTGGATTAAAATAGGTCGATTAGTATTTTATACCCTTCATAATTAAAAGTGTATCATGGGGTTTATTCCTAATTTCTAATATTATGGGATCAAACATGATAAAGTTGACCAAGTATGAGAATTGGAGAAAACAAGTGAGATTAAGTTGTTTGGTATGAAACAAAATTAAACTAAGATTATTAGTTAAGTTGATGTGATTTGGTATTTAGTCTCTAGTTTTACTAGTTGAGTTATGTTATTATAATAATTTCATAACTCAAATTCATATATAAGATATTTGAATTGTTTTGGCGGTTTTTTTATAAGAAAATAAAAGAAAAGAATGTGATTTTAGCTTATTTGGAGCAAATGGATGTATTAGATTAAAACGAGAACCAATTATCAAAATATTTATTTATTTATTTATTTTTCCTTGGTTTAACTTGATGAGGTTAATGTTGATAGTTAAAAAGTAAACACTCATGTTATATTTTATAACTATAGTCAAAAGAGGATTTTGATATTATTGACTAAGTGTTGGAAAGTATATGGAAATATTAAAAGATTTTTATGTTATTTATTGCTTTAGAAGTTTTGTCCTTGGCCATCGGTGAAGGATGGTCGTGGTTGTTATATAATGAATAGTACGCGTTATGTCTTGTGATTTATTTGCGTAATTTACAATGATGTGGAAATATTATGAGATTGTGTAATTATGTAATTAGATGAAAATGAATGGAAGCAATTTGAAATGCATATGTTATGGGAATGTGATTATGCTATATAGAGGTAATGTAATCCTTCCGGCTAGCAACCGGTACAGCAATCTAATGTGCCATATAAAGGTAATGTGTTCCTTCCGGTTATCACCCGGTAAAACAGGGAGATGTGCTATATAGAGGTAATGCGTTCCTTCCGGCTAGCAAACGATAAAGCAGGCAGACATGTGGCTTGGCGAGACCATGGTGGTGATGTGAGGCTTGGCAAGACTACTAGTTGTTTATTTTATTATGACATGTTACTGCTAATTGGTGTATGTGTGTTGTAATGGGTGCCCAGTTGCCCTTCTATGCTGATGGCTAGAAAATGTGGGTGATGCCTGGGAATATTATGAATTGTGATATCTTATTACTTGATTAACTAGTTAAATTAACTAGCATGAGTTGATTAAATGAGATATGTGTATGCTTATTAATAGCTTGTTAATTGTAAATTTATTTAAGTTAATCGACATGAGTTAATTAATTAAACGGATTGAAATTGAGATGTTGCTAATAGTCATTGTAACTTGTGAATTTATTTAAATTAACTAATATGAGTCATATAAATGAAGTGTACTTGTTGGAGATCTTTATGAATTGTTTAACTATTTAATTTAACAGTGATGGGTTAACTGAATAGGTTGAAAATGATGTTTTGTTAATAGTTGGAGTACATTTACTTCCCTCCAAAGCACGAAGAAGAAGAGACTGCCATCCAGGAATAAGAAAGATTGAGTATATGGAATTCTTAAACCTCGGGTATTGGAGTCCAGAAAGTCCCGTTGCCACATCGAGATATGAAAGACCGTCTTTTTCGCTTAAATGGAGTTTTCCCTCCGTGGAGTGGGATCAAAAGGCTACGCTCCTTTCGATAATTAGTTGGGGTTAATTAAATAAACTGGATTTAAGAGATTATGTAAAAAAATCATAAGGTTTTGACCTGATATGATTTCACGTATATATACGAGTATCTTTGTAACCGCATATCTTTTTATGTTATAATATGATATTATTTGGTGAGCTAGCGGTTTGCTTACCTCCTACCTGTACATGTGTACATGGAATGTTTTCGGACTTGAAGATTAAATAGCAAGTTTACCTTGACATAATTATAAAGTGGTGATGAGCTGTAATGCATTTTATTTGTTTCTTTGGCTGAGTACTATACTTTATAAAGGATAACGCCCTCTTATTTATTGTAAGCCTTTGGGAAATTTTGTTTGTAAAAGAATATATTATATTCAATGTAATACATGAAGAGTGGGTTTAATGATTTTTATCAATGGTATTTCTTGTATTGACTTGTGAAGAGTAAATAAAATGTTTAAGGAAAAAGAATTTTTGATAATTAATTGAATGAGAGGATTTCTTTCAAAAATCTCACGCTTAGGTTAATTATTTTCCGCCTAATTAATCTTTGAAAATCGGGACGTGACAAAATCAATACAACACTAAAGCTTTACCAAGCTTGTAGATTTTACACAGGTTTTACTCTTATTTGTTGAGTCTCACACAACAATAAATACATCACCCTTACAAAATTTCTCTCACAAAATAATCTATAAGGATAAGTGGTATTTCAATCCTCTTTTACTATAATTTTCTCACAAAGAATAGATATGAAAATATAAGAATAAAGACAACACTTCGATCTGAAAATGAAATAGCAGAGTAATACACTCAAAATTTTGGAGTACACAGATTTTTTTCTCTAAAAGTTCTTAATTTTTCTCCACACAAAATATTTCTATTTATATCAAAAATACTACCTATTAGAAGAGACAGACGCTCCTCAAGGCGTCGGCTGAATCCACTTGGAAGAAAATCACATAAGGCAACCGTGGAAAAAAATTACACAAGGTAACCATTTGAAATTAATGATTAAAAAGTCATCTCAATGAATAGTAATTTTAATATTTTCAAAATATTTTTCGTAAAATCAACGGTATACAATAATTGCATAGTAACTTTTCTAATAAAATATTTGAATAAATAGTAAAATCTCTTTAAATAACACTTATAACAAATATGAAAATATATACTGTAGACACCCTATTTTTGACCGACCTTAAGACTCAGACGTCATCGATTGAGCGCTCGGTGATAGTGCATGTTGTGCTTGTTCGAGTTTCCGGAGTTTTCGGTTGGATGCCTTGCCTCCGGGCCTTTGAACTTTTTGTGTTTTGGCTCGGTTTGTGTACCAAGCCTTGTTTCCCTTCCCTGGAGGGAGGGGGTGGTCTGTGGACCATCCTTTTGTGGTCATAGACCACTTTCGTGGTCGTAGACCACTTTTCCCGCTTGGGGACTAGTTTCCGATTTTCGGAGCTTTCGGCCGCGCGCCTTGTCTCGAAACCGCTTAACGTTCTCCGTTTGGATTGGTTTTTGAACCATGCCTTGTTGCCTCTGCCTAGAGGGACACTGTGGTCCAAGAGACCACTTTTGGTACCCGTTGTAACAACCCCCATACTGTTTACTGATTAATGACCGATTGATTACCGATAATCACCGATTACTGTTAAACGGAACTGATAATGACTGATAACTGACTGATAATTGAACTGATTAAAAGTACTGAACTGACTGACTGAAATTGGAAACTGGATTGAATGAGTACATCTGTTTGAATTGCATTTTATCTGTTGACTGTATGATTATCTGTTCATGCTTATATGTTTAAACTGCTAATTGAAGGCCTTATCGGCGGCCGAACTGGGAATTGATTAATGTTTTATGACCGTCATAATTAATGTGATTTTATGGTATAATTATCTGAAAACTGATTAGGCATGATTAAATTAGATTAAAATAAGCTAATTAAAGAGTTTGGTTTATTTACCATATTGCCACCCTTAGTGGCACACTACCTAGTGATGCTAGAGCCTTGCATCCTTGACTCAAAACATTTCCATCAACCATTTCTCCTAAGCTTAGCCGACCATGAGAGGAGAGTTAGAGAGAGAGAGAGAGTTGTTCTTGAGAGATTTGCTTGATCTTGCTTGGAATT